GTTACTCAAAATCCCCATTTCCTTCTGATCAACTGGGACTTGGGAGGCAGAGAATAGATGGGGGCAGGGCCAGTCAGAATTTTTACTACCGGTTCTACTGGTACTCAAAATTTCTGCTACCAGTTCTTCAGAACTGGTCAGAACCTGCTGAAACCCACCTCTGATCTCATCTCATTTTCCTGTCTATCACCATCTGGAATCCTTAGTCATTTCTACTAGCAAAGCTGGTTTGGAATAGGCAATCATCTTTCACTCCCAATCATTAACTAATGATTATTCTAATTTATTGATTAGATCTAGAGGCAGGGAGCTTAAGGAGCTATTAGAAGATCTGTGATGGAACCAACAGTTGAAAGGGAGGGAGCTCCACCTGGGGGAGTAAAGAGACATTTCAGCTTGGAGTTCATTCCAAGTTTAGGTTTAAATATAAAGGTACTCGCACATATGTGCTAGTCGTTCCTGACTCTAGGAGGCGGTGCTCATATCCGTTTCAAAGCCAAAGAGCCAGCGCTGTCCGAAGACGTCTCCGTGGTCATGTGACCGGCATGACTCAACGCCAAAGGTGCATGGAACGCTGTTGCCTTCCCACCAAAGGTGGTCCCTATTTTTCTACTTGCACTTTTTTTTACGTGCTTTCGAACTGCTAGGTTGGCAGAAGCTTTTTTTCTAACCACTTATGTATTTTTGCCCAAATTTTCTTTGCTTTAACACAAATCCACCACATATGGTAATATGTGCCCATTTTTTGGTTAAATTTCCAACATTTGCTAGACATATTTTTAAACATTTTAGCTAACCTAGCAGGTGGTAGGTGAATTTATTTCATTTGATACCGCCAATCTAAAACAACTCACCGTGTTTTCCCGAAAATAAGACCCTGTCTTGTATTTTTTGAACCCTGAATTAAGTGCTTGGCCTTATTTTCGAGGAGGTCTTATTATTTTGGGGCGCATGGAGCGAGACGGGGATCCTCTTGCAGTCTTACCTGATTTCCAGCTCTGTCTCCCTAGCCCTAACTAGAGGAAATGGCGGGGACTGGCTGCGTATGCATTTAAATATTTTCGGGGAGGGCTTATTTTTGGGGGAAGGTTTATTTTCGGGGGAGGGCTTATTTTTGGGGAAACACGGTCATGTTTTCAGTGCTTCCACTTCTGAAAAAGTGGGTTGGTCCTTCTTAGGTCCTGGAAGTCTTTTAAATTGGGTTGAATCTTGCATAAAGTGTGTGTCGTAAATACATCAGCAAGACAGGGAAGGAATTTACAAGCTATATGAGGAACAACTTTCAGTTCTGTTGAACTACATTTTTTGGTTCTTTAGCCGATCAGAAAAGCTTCCTGGCTGCCAAATGTTATTGCAAAGATAAATGAGCCAAGGTGGCGCAGTGGTTAGAGTGCAGTACTGCAGCTACTTCAGCTGACTGCTAGTTCAGCAGATCAGCAGATTAAATCTCAGCGGCTCAAGGTTGACTCAGCCTTCCATCCTTCCGAGGTGGGTAAAATGAGGACCCAGATTGTTGGGGGCAATATGCTATTTAGTATACTGTCGATTGTTGTAAGCCGCCCAGAGTCCTCGGAGAGTGGGCGGCATAGAAATATGATTAATAAAAATAAATAAATAAATAAATCGAAAGTCATGTTGGCTTCTTATACTGACCTTTCCTCACTCTCATTATAACTTTTCCTTCCTTCCTTCCTTCCTTCCTTTCCTTCCCTCCCTCCCTCCTTCCTTCCTTCCTTTTCCCTCCCTCTTCATTCTCCTTTCTCCTTCCCCTCTTTCCTTCTTTTTCCTTCCTTGCTCTCTTCCCATCTTCCCTTCTTTTTCTTTGTCCCTTTCCCTTTCTCCTTTCCTGTCCCGTCTTGCATGGCAGGCTCAAATGCAAAAGGGGAAACATTTATCCTTTTCTTTTGTTTTTAGTTTGTTTTGATAGCCCTCTGCCAATGAAAACGGAGCCCAGGGGAAGGCGGGGGGCACACACGGCAGAGGCACTGCGGGCTAATCCTTTGCTGGCTCCGTGGGCCAGATCTAAGCACCCCACAGGTTGGATCTGAGGGCCTTGAGTTTAACATCCCTGCATTAAGCTATTATCTGTGTTTCTATCTAAAATGCTTCTTTCCAACTAAAAGGAAGCAGTTCTTTCTCTGATAATGGAGCAGCTGTTTGCAAAATCATCTCCTGAACTTTTTATCAGTTTGTCAGTCGACCATTACAATTGCTGGGATATCGTACTGATTTTTTTTTAAAAAAAAACCTGCCAGCTAGAGGGAAGGTTTTGACATTATTCCATATTGTGAGTGCTGTTACACTAGTCCAGGATGTGCTACTGAATTAGTTGCTCACATTTTTACACTGCTGCCTCTTTATGATTTTTGGCTCGCAGCCTTCATATATCCACATCTTCCTGGCTGTGGCCAGGACCTAGAAATCGTTCGCCTTATACTTTCAGACCTTTTATTGAAGATTTCCAGGAATATTGCCAAGTTCTGCTCCATCATTATGGCTAAGTATTACAAGGTTTGAGGTTTAGCTTTTACTTTAGAGGGTTGTATGGACAAACTCAACTGTGCTGGAATATGTCAGCGTCCCAGCACTGACATATATAAGGAGAGGAGAAGCTTGAACTTTTGCCTACTTAATTCCTTTGAAGATTCTGTCTCCTCGGAGATGGGAGGAGGGGGACATTCCTGTGATCTGACGGAGAAGGGATGAGGAAAGTGGCTTGGAAGATAGCCAATGAGACGCAGAGAATTGGGGATCGGAAAGGGAGGGATTGGGGGGGCAAAGGTCAGTACTGACCGCGAAAGAGCCAGGGACAGATCACTATGCTAAATAAAGAGAAAATTTCCTTAAAGATCGGCAGTTTGGAAATTCCTTTTATTTTGAGATAGCATCAAAACCTGACAGAATATTTGCTTCCATTTCCTTTGTTTTATTACGTCTCGCATGATGCTTTGCATTGCTCTCCTTTGTTTTACTTACGATCATTTCACATTTTCTTGGTCTTACACCTCAGTAAAGACTATACATCGAAAGGTGTTAATATTTTTATTTGGGCTGGGAAAAAACCCAGAATAAAAATGAAAATTATACAAGATATACGTGAAAGAGGGGGTCTTAAAATGCCTAATTTAAGATTGTATTATGAAGCAGCGGTGTTATCACATATTAGTGATTGGTTTAATCTAACTGAGGGTAGAGTTCTGAATGTAGAAGGTTATGATTTGTTATATGGATGGCATGCTTATTTGTTATATGATAAAAAAGTGGATAAAGTATTCAAGGTTCATATATTAAGAAATGCTTTGTTAAGGGTTTGGAAAAAATATCAGTATAAGTTAAATTACAAGATACCTGTATGGGCAAATCCTAGACATGCAATAGAAAATATAAGTATAGAACAAAAACAGGAGGTGATTACTTATAAAGAGCTTCTTACTATGGAAAGGGGGGTAATGTACTTGAAATCTCTAGATACGTTGAGAGAAGAAGGTATAATTTATACATGGTTTCAGTATGGTCAGCTTCAAGCTAGATGGAAGGAAGATCAAAAAACTGGCTTTGTGCAAAATGAGGAGAATTTGGTAAAACAAATTAGAGATCAAAAACAAATGCATATTAAAAGGTTGTATAATGTTTTATTAGAAATAGATTCCGAGACAGAATTGGTTAAAGACTGTATGATTAAATGGGCACAAAACTTTCAGGAACCAATAATGATGGAGACTTGGGAAAAGATTTGGATTAGAAATGTGAAATTTACACAAGCACAAAATTTAAGAGAAAACTTTTACAAAATGTTTTATAGATGGCATTTAGATCCCAAAAAGTTATCATGTATGTATCCTAATGTGCAAGCTAAATGTTGGAGATGTGACTGTGATGACGCAACTTATTATCATATATGGTGGACTTGTAGAAAAATCAAAGCATTTTGGATAAAGATTTGGTGGGTGATGCAGAATATTCTTAAAAAGAAACTGAAATTTACTCCACAGTTGTTTTTATTGGGTATAACCACAGATTGTACAGTTGTAGAGACTAAATTGATTTTGAACTTGATAACAGCAGCAAGATTGTTGGTTGCACAACATTGGAAGAAGGATTTTTTGCCTACTATTGATGATTGGATATTGAAAGTAACTAATTTAGCTGAAATGGCTAAAATTTCAGCATTTTTGAAGGATCACACACAAGAAAGATATATACAGGACTGGAGAAGATGGATTGATTATATACAAAATAAGTATCAGACCAAAAAATATCAAATAGCTTACGAATGATTTTTTTTTCTTATTATTTGTACAAGTGCTATATAAGTGATATTAGAAATATTATGTTTAAGAAATAGGATTTCATATACGGGGGGTTAAGGGAATTTTTCTTTTAGGGGTGTTAGCATAATTGGTTATGCAATTTAGTTTACTGTTAAAGCTTAATAGAAATACCTTGTGTTCTGCTCTGGGAAGTCGGGGAAGGGGAGGGGGGGTGGGGGTTGTGGGGAAATTGTATTTGTTGTAAAACTTTTTCAATAAAAAAAAAAAAAAGACTATACATCGATAAAGGAAGGAAGGGATTGCCTTCTCCAAAGTAAACAGGAAACCTGAATTTGAATTAAATTTGAATTTGAATTTTCGAAGCCTGGCCTTTAAATCAGGAATTCTCCTAAGTAAGGGGTGACAAACTGATGGCCCGTGGGCGGATGCGTCACATGCAGGCCACGCCCACCCCAGTTCCGCAAAGGGGGAAAATGTCACAAAACGTCACGTAGCGGCAACATAACGTGTTGAGTTTGACACCCGTGTCCTAAGATATCTGATGTGGATACTGAAAAAATAAGAAGACTGTTACGCAATGAGCTGGCCATTAGGCCCCCAGCGCTGGACAACAAAAAACTAAAATCCAGCGATTCCCGAGGTTACTGAAGTGGGAAAGATGGTTTAAGACATGCTACAAAGCATCTATACTTAATCACCTTCCTTTTTTGGGGGGGTATTTCTTACTAGGAGACCTGGTATTGGTATGGTGACACTGGTGCAGACAACGTGGTCATGAGTGGGATGAAATGCTCCGGGACAGAAATGGCTTTGTTCCACTGCCCACATGATGCCAAGATCTCCTGTCCCAAGGGAGGCGGACGCCATGCAGCTGGTGTTTCCTGTACAGAAAGTAAGCACTTCGGCTTCCTTGGCTCACATCTTAGACCACAGTTTATCTAAATCGCGGTCAAGTATGTTTATGAGTGTTTTATTGGGTTTAACCCAGGGGTGAAATTAAAAAAAAAACACCCTACCGGTTCTGTGGGTGTGGCTTGTTGGGGGGCAGTCATGTGACTGGGTGGGCGTGTCCAACTTGACATCACTCACATCGAGGGGCTCCTCACCGGCCCCTCCCCTCCCAGCCACTCCTTGTCGCGAATGGCAGGAAAATGGGGAGGGGAATATTCCTGCCTACCATCCTTCCCTCAGTCTGTGCTGAGATTGAGGAATGGATGACAGGCAGGAAAATCCCCTTCCCTGTTTTCCTGCCTTTCACAAAAACGGCTCCATTCCAGCTGCTCCCCACCTCCTGTCCCCCTCCCTCCTGGGGACTACCTTAAAAGGGACAGCTCCGTTGTAAATGGAGGGAGAAAAGTTAGCATTCTCTCTGCTGCATTTAACATTGAATTCTGTGGAATATCGAGCGACTGGAAGAGGTGAGCGGTGACCGGCTTGGCGTGGGTGGGGCCAAGGAGGGGTAATTACTACCAGTTTGGCAAACTGATGCCAATAATCCCTAGTGGTTCTCTCGAACCGATCCGAACTGGTAGGATTTCACCCCTGGTTTAACCAGGATGAATGCTAACACGACTTCTCCATAACTTTGGTTATTGTGACATGGCAAGCAAAACAAATTGGTTCTGAAACCAATCAATAATGTTCGATTAACTAATTAATGAATCTTCAATTAATTGGTCAATAATGAACAATTAAACAATGGAATATCTCGCTACCCGGAGTTGTGGGTTCTCCATCACAGGAGGTTTTTTTCAAAACTAGACTGGCCAACTATTTGACCAGGATGATTTAAGTCTCCTGCCTTGAGCACAGGGTTGGAGTAGAAGACCTCTAAGATCCCTTCCAACCCTATAATTCTATGTTAAATATTTCAGGGAGAAATCTGATTCTAAACTCAAAACTGCTTCGTGTTTCTAATATCGTGCGTCCATGTGGTTTACTTAATGGAAAAGATCTACCGTTGCCTACTTTAGAGTTTCAATTTTCCAGATGAGATCATATCTTTGGACGTTCTTGAGACCTCCCATTCAAGTTCTAAACAAGATCTAACCTCTCAAGCTTTCTCTGATCAGCCAAAGTGAGCCAAGTGTTGCAATTTGCCCCGGCAAATGTATTGTACTGCTATCTGAATTAATTGTTGTGACCCAGGCCCAAGTAGGTATTATCAGACGCAATCAGTTCGAAACAAACAGACTTTATTAGAACAGCTGAGAATTAACTCATTCTCAGCGTAGTCCAAACTAAGTCAAAACAAATTCTTCATAACACAATTCTTCAGCCTTATCACCAACCTTGGTCTAATTAGGCAAACTGCCAAAGGCTTTTCTTGGCAAAAGTTCGGAAACAGAAGACGCCGACAAGAAATAAATGCAGCAAGACAAGTAACCAATCTATCAACGTTGTTTTCCGACAGAGCCCAAGAGCTGTTGCTGGTATTTTAAGCCTTATGGGAGGGGCCAATCATCTCTTGGCCTTACTCCCGAGTCGTCCTTTTTGCTTTAGCTGCTCTTGCCTTCTGGCAGCTCTTCTCATGCATGCACTAGGAACAGGCTCCTCCTGTTCCTCTGCCTCTCTGCTGACAGCCTCTGGAGGCTCCGGAGTCTGCACCTCACTCCCCATGGCCCTGGCCCCATCTCTGCCTCCGATGCAGTGCCCTCATCTAGGCCTTCCCCAGACTCCAGGACTTGCCCATTGCCCTCCACAGCCTCCTCACTGTCTGACTCCGCTGCCAGCTCTGCAGGATGCTGGTGGACCACAACATTAATATAAAAATGTTCTTGAGCTGAGCTGAGCTTCTCTCCTGGTGTCACAAGATCACATCCCAGATAGATTTATTGACAATATTAGAAAAACGCTTTGCTGGTGTCTTCCTCTGATAATAATGTGTCCCTATCACATGTCTCTGCCATATCACTAAGCATCACCTTCCATAAATGGAAACAAACTCTGATGGGAGTCCTAACCAGGGGTGAAATTCACTTACCGTCACTACCGGTTCACAAATGTGAGCGTGCACGCCTCCTTCTCGCATGCACAGAATCTGCTGCGCATGTGCTGAGGGTCAAAAACGGGACATAATGATGTCTGGGTGGGTGGGCGGAGCCTCCCTTCTCCGGCGCTACCAGTTTGCCCGAGCCAGATAGAACTGGATGAATTTCACCACTGGTCCTAACCAGGGGTAGGTTCTACTTACCTTTACTACCGGTTCGGAACGGCATGCATAGATTGACGATGACGACATCCGGGGCAGTGGACAGGGCCTCCCGCCAGTTTTACTGAACCGGTCCGAACCAGGGGCACCACTGGTCCTAACCCTACCTTAGGATGAATACGGGTCTTGAAAAGCATCTTGGGAAACCTTCCATTTTTCAAGGGCGTCTACAAATCCTTCAGCGGAAATAATCAGAGGATAAAAGCGAAGTCCTTACTCTCCATTCATGTCTGCAGCTGCGGCTGATCTCGTCCTCAACGCCAAGGAAGTAGAACAGACATCCTACCTGGAGGATCGCCCCATGCATGTGCTGCAGTGCGCCATGGAGGAGAATTGCCTGGCCTCCTCTGCGGTCAACACCTCAGTGACGTCCGGTTACAGGAGACTCTTCCGCTTCTCCTCCCAGATCCATAATAACGGGCAGGCTGACTTCCGTCCCAAAACGGGCCGCCACGCTTGGATCTGGCACGAATGCCACAGGCAAGTCTTGCTTTCTGTCTTCGCTTTTGTAGAATAGGAAGGAGGGAAAAAAAGTGAAATGCTGACACAACTCATGTGGGGTCACCAACATGCAAGACAAAAAAGGGTTCTAAGCGTGACTTAAAATACAACGCCACGAGCACATTCCTGACCTGCTCACATCTCCCTTGAAGCCATAATTTAATTCGCTGTGGTTTAAACATGGCTGGCTGGGGAATTCTGGGAGTTGAAATCAGGGGTGGACGTCAAAACTTTTAGCAAGGGGTTCTCTACCCAGTTGTTGGGCAGGCGTGGCCATGGTGGGTGTGGCCTAGTCGGCCTCCTGCACCATGGCGGTGTGTATGTGTTTTTGCCCTCCCCAGGCTCCGGAGGCTTTCCTCAGGCCTCTGGGAAGGCGAAAACGGCCTCCCCAGGCTCCAGAGGCCCTCTGGAGGGCAGAAACATGCTCATTTCTGGCCTTCTTGAACTTCTGGTAGGCCCATTTTTCACCGTCCCTGAGCCTCCGTGCACATCTTGCACTTACCTGCATTCAAAATGGGTCACATGGGGACTCCTGGGAGGGGCGTGGTGGTATGGGCAGGGCCAGCCAGGAGTGGAATTTGGGGGTTCTCCGAACTGCACAGAATCTTAGCTTCCGAACCCCCCAGCAGCCCACCCCCGGCTGAAGCTCACAAGTCTCAAAAGTTGCCAAGTTCGGAGAGCCCTGCTTTAAAACCCCGCAGTTGGGTTTCATCATTCCCCAAGCAAATGGTGTTATGACGTAGCACAGGGAGGGAATCCTGCCAGTTCTGTACGAATCTATGCAGCCCCTTTTGTGGATGATTCCAGATTGTGGGGTCCATCTCCTTCTGTTGATTCAAAGCCTAAGAGTATCTCCGGCAGGTTAATAGCAGCGCTGGCTGGGGGATTCTGGGAGTTGAAGTCCACCCATCTTCGAGCTTCCAAGGTTGAGAAACACTGCTCTACAGTATTTCTGGTCCATAAACAGCATAAGATAAACACTTCCCTGAGCAGGCGGGCATATTTTAGGAACAGTCGGCATTTATGTTTGACTTTTTCACACCGGAAAATCGCTCGAGCACACAGCTTCAAAGCAAATAGTTTGGACTTCTTAACAGCTCTCCGTATTTTCCATTTGCAGGCTGTGGAATTCTATTCACGATCCGGGTTGGGGGTGGGTAGCAGAGTTCCACTGAAAGGCAGGTAAAAGAGAAACCCAAGAATGTGTGGCAAAAGAAAATTATTATAGCAACTCTGAGTCAGTTTTTTTTTTGAAGGTTTCCTTTCCCCACAAGCAAGTAGAATAAATAAACAGATTGATGTATCATCTCCCTGATACTGAATTCCAGGTGTTTAATGTCCTCTGTGGTTTATTTTCTCAGGTGCAAAACAGCTAACTAACTCTACCTTGCAGATCCTTAGTTTTCCACAACTTATACCAGGATGCGCTTGCTTTCTGATTCTACGCTTGGTTTTTGCACAATCGGTGGGCATCAGGGGTGGGTTCTAAATTTTTTTACTACCGGTTCTGTGGGCGTGGCTTATTTTGTGGGTGTGGCTTGGAGGTCATGTGACTAGGTGGGCATGGCTAGCTGGTCAGAGTCATTTCTGGAAGGTCCTCGCACTTACAACCAGTCCTCGTACTTACGATCCAACTCATTTGTTTGCTTTTAACACTGATCAGCTGTAGGGCCCTTTGAAGCCCTGCGGCAAGAGTTTAAACAGTTTTTTTCCCTCTAGTCCTCAGCTGGGACTCAGGAGGCAGCAATAGATTGGGGGTGGGACCAAATAAAAGGTAAGAATAATGTGGGTGGGGGGAGGGCGGGGGGGGGAGAACCAGTTCGGTGACGTCATATCGTCACTGCTACCGGCTCGGCCGAACCGGACCGAACTGGAAGGAACCCACCACTGGTGGGCATTCATCGTGGATGTTGCACAAATTAAAAACTAAAAACCTCTTGCAAGATGCCAGAATCTCTTTCAATATTCAACAGAAAAGCTTATTACAATGTACCTGATACGTATAACCCCACCCTTGTAAGCATAAATTCTGGGTCAAATATTCATACAATTATCTCTCAAAGGTGCTTTTTCAAAAGGCGACTGGACTTTCTTTTTCCGTGAAGACGTTTCACTTCTCATCCAAGAATCTTCGTCATTTCTGACTGAATGGTGGAGAATGGGAGGATTTATATTCGTTGCAGTCATCTGGTCGTTAGCATTCTTTCTGAGAGTTGTTGAGGCCACTTGGAGGTTTAACTGAGCACTCAGGGTCAAGGAAAAAACAAAGAAAGCCCAGTTGCCTTTTGAGAAAGCACTTTTGGGACAACAAAGTCCTCCAAAGAATCTCCATAGATATTCACACAATATTTTTTGTTTTGGGGAAGGAACCACAGCTGAGTTCCAGAGTCCCACATTCAGTTGAAGTTCTATTTCAAACATTCAAGTATCAGAGGGAGGGAAGGGAATTCTTCCAGGAAGATTTCTGGAACATGGTTGTAAGTCGTAGAGGAGGTAGTATCCTGGTTGGACAAATACCTTGACAATATGAGAGAGCTTTCTAATGCATGAGATCATTAAATCTGTGGAAGAAATTCAGGTTTGTGCAAATTGCCAGCACTGTAATGCTCAAAGATTGGGCCCTAAAGCACCATCGTCCCTCTAAATGCCATCTCTAGGCTTTGCCCCCCCAACCAGGGGTGAAATGCTCCCGGTTCGGACCGGATCGCCTGATCCAGTAGCGATGGATGCGTGTGGTTCGGAGAACCGGTAGCAAAAATCCCTGCCCCTCCCCCCATTGCCCAGCTGAGCCGCGCAATCATCAGAGGCTTTTTTTTTATTATTTTTAAAAGCATTTTTTAACAATTTTGACGGAAAAAAGAATTTAAAAATAAAAAAAAAAAAAAAAAAGCCTCTGGTGATTGTGTGGCTCAGCTGGGATTGTCAGAGGCTTTTTTTTAAAAAAAGAAAGCCTTTGCGATCAGGCAAGTGAGCTGGGATCGTCAGAGGCTTTAAAAGCATTTTTTTACAACCTCTTCAGCCGAAGAGGTTGTAGAAAAAATGGTTTTAAAAGTTAAAAAAAAAAAAGTTGGCCACGCCCACTCAGTCATATTACCCCCCCTCCCACCAAGCCACGCCCACAGTAACCAGTAGTAACAAATTTTACATTTCACCACTGCCCCCAACTAACGACAAATTATTTTGACAAACGGAAATCCAAAGACTTCCATCTTGCAAGTTTGCCGAATTTTGTAAAATGTTAGGATTCTTTCATGATACCTCACAAGGTTTCAGGAAAGAACACCAAAATCTTGTCGGATTTAAGTCCAGTACATCCTGCCAAGTTAGAGTGTATTTTTGTTTGTCTGTTTGCTTCCTTGATTTCTGACTGATTTATTTAAAGAATGTGGTAACCCCAATCAATCCTAGGAAGTTGATTCGTTCTCTGTCATCTTAGCACAAATCGGTAGACAATATTGAGTTCTTTACTTAAATGGTTCTACGCCATTCTAAAATGAAATGGAGCATATATTACAGATTCGGTCTGTGACCCCATTATCATAATATACAATACACCAGAGGTGGGTTTCAGCAGGTTCTGACCAGTTCTGGAGAACCGGTAGCAGAAATTTTGAGTAGTTCGGAGAACCGGTAAATACCACCTGTGACTGGCCCCGCCCCCATCTATTCTCTGCCTCCCGAGTCCCAGCTGATTGGAAAGAAATGGGAATTTTACAGTATCCTTCCCCTGGAGTGGGGTGGGAATGGAGATTTTACAGTATCCTTCCCCTGGAGTGGGGTGGAAATGGAGATTTTACATTATCCTTCCCCTACTATGTCCACCAAGCCACACCCACCAAACCATGCCACGCCCACCAAGCCACGCCCACAGAACCTGTAGCAAAAAATTTTGAATCCCACGATTGCAATACACATAGCAGAAACAGAATAGAAATCTATAAATATATAATCCTAGCACAGAATTAATTATAATATTGGCCACGTACAGAGGACATATAAATTGCAGCGATGCCCTCAAAACTTTGGAAAACAAAATAAACAAAGAGAGTACAAAACAGGTTGCAGTGAACATGTCTGCAAAGAGATGGAGTCCCTTCGTAACCATCTGCTAAAATCTATGTTGATGAAAAGAAGGCCAGGAAGGATAAATAGGAGCAGATGGCTCTTCAAATCATCAACCCGCAAGCTATTTAAACTTTTAAAGCTTAACTAAAGCTCTGAATTAGGCCTCCCACTAAGTGAGTACTGTACCTACAGGAGGTTTATCTCCCTGGAGGTGAGCTCACTGTTTAGTTTGATCAAGGGTGTTGTGGAGCACTGCTGGGTTAAGTTTGTTCCAAATTATGAATTGAGCTTCAAGAAAAGCGCATTTCCGAGCAGGACAATTGCAACTTTAGCAGGCACTAAACCTTTATGGAAACTGAGACTAGATTTATTGGCTTTTATCAATTCCATTGAGCATTAATTTAAAAGACCTATCATCATCTTTTAACGATGGTCAGAACCTGCTGAATACCACCTCTGAACAGAAGTGAAAATTGATTAATATATATCAGTTTTAAAGGAATGGGAATAAAAGGTAAAAGGTTAAGGGTTCCAGTCATGTCCGACTCTGCGGCATGATGCTCACCTCTGTTTCTTGACCGAGGGAGACAGTATTGTCCGAAGACAATTTCCAAAATCATGTGGCCTGCATGGCTCTATGTCAAAGGCTCACGGAATGCTGTTAGCTTCCCACCGAAGTGGTACCTATTTATCTACTCACATTTTCATGCTTTCGAACTGCTAGGTTGGCAGGAGCTGCGGGGTGGGCAACTGAATGAAGCTAGCAGAGTTCTTTAATGGCCCGATGCCCTTCCTGTCACCAATGCGGAGTTTTGTTCAGCAGATATATTCTCATTGTACCCAGCAAGAGAAATATCTGCCTCTACCTAGGATCGAACTCACAACCTCCTGATTACGAGGCGAGAACTCCACCTCTAGGCCACCGCACCACTCCTTTAATTTAAAAGACCTATGTCTCCTGCTTTTAAAGAGCTGTATCTTCTATATATTCAGGTTCTTGACCCATTCTCTATATCAGGGGTGTCAAACTGGCAGCCCGCGGCCCGGATGCGTCACATGCAAGCCACGCCCACCCCAGCTCCACGAATGGGAAAAACATCGCGAAACATCATGTGATGCGGCGAGTTTGACACCCGTGCTCTATGTTATCTTGCCCATCAGGCCAAAGTTCTCAGAATCTCATGAGGCAGCATTTCTCAAACGTGGCATGTGGACTTCAACTCCCAGAATTCCCCAGCCAGCATTCTGGGAGTTGAAGTCCACACATGTTAAAGTTGCCACAGTCAAGAAACACTGTTTTAAGGCATAATCCTCTTAGTTCTTGAAGACAGCTAGAGGTTGACAGGAATGGACTTGAGTCTTTGACGTCACAAGAATTCAATAGAATAGATTAGAATTCTTTATTGGCCAAGTGTGATTGGACACACAAGGAATTTCTCTTGGTGCATACGCTCTCAGTGTACATAAAAGAAAAGATACATTTGCCAAGAATCATAAGGTACAACACTTAATGATAGTCATATTGTATTATTGCTCGGGAAAAAATAACAGGATCCCCCCAAAATGCATTCCATATGGTATTTATTTCCTTTTTCTGGACTAATGTCATCAAGCTGGAATTCATCCAATAAATAGTCACATTTTGGAGATGTTTTCATCTGAACGAAAAGTTTTTATAGTTAACCAGTAGTAAACCTGGATGACCATTGGTGTTCTTCCCCAGCTCCGGATTCCCAAGGATTGTGACACACACCAACGGTCCTTATCAAAGTTATAACGTACCAAGAATAAACAAAATCTGGCAAAGGTTGGCAACCAGCCCAGAAAACAAGATACGATAAGACACTCACTCTCTAAAATGGTCTGTAATGTTGTTTCCAGCAAGAAATTACTAACTGCGTGCAACTTAAATAGGCTAAGGGAGTGGCCAATTATCCTCAAACCTTACTCTCGAGGAGACCTCCTCCTCCTGAGTAGCCACTCCTGCCTTTTGGCAGCCCTGCATGCTCGAGCATTGAGGAGAGGCTCCTCCACTTCGCTCTCTCCACTTGAAGGAGCCTCTGGAGGTTCTGAAGGCCCAGGCTGAGTCACCACATCCTCTTCAGCCTCCTCGCTGTCCAACACGAGTGCCGGCTGCGCAGGCTGCTGGCGTGACCCCACACCAGCCTCCTCGTCGTTGGGATCAGCCACGATCCACGCAGGCTGCTGACGGGCCACTACAGTTGGCTAGGGCTTCCCTGTATGCATATGTGGTAGGGGAGATACTAGAGTCACGATAAACTGCCATTCTGGTGTGTCTAAAACAACCAACAATTAGATATGCTTTGATTATATAATGTCTAGACTCACCAGCCTTAATCATGATTTGCTAAGTAAACCACAGAGAGCCGAGTTTATCGATAGAAGAGAATGGCTGTAGCTCAGGGTTGAATGGTGGGGTCTTTGGTGGTCTCTGAGCTTGGTGATTTTCTTGCAGACGTTTCATTAGGTAACATAATCAGTTGCTGAGTTTACACAAGACATCAAATCTTCGTTGGCAACCTTCAGAAATTTGCTTTCTTTCTGGCTTCCACAGGCATTACCACAGCATGGAAGTCTTTGCCCACTACGATCTGTTGGATAGCAACTGGACTCAAGTTGCCGAAGGCCACAAAGCCAGCTTTTGCCTGGAGGACAGCGACTGCATAGACGGTACATGTGTTTCTAACGTTATTTCAGTGCATTGTCAGTTGATTAGCATTCCTTAATCCCAGCTATTTTCCCTCTTAACACCAGCATAGAGAATATGTCGAAGGCTGAGTCTCAGTGACCATTATGAGCCATGGTGGCGCAGTGGTTAGAGTGCAGTCCTGCAGGCTACTTCCGCTGACTGCCGGCTGCCTGCAATTTGGCAGTTCGAATCCCACCAGGCTCAAGGTTAACTCAGCCTTCCATCCTTCCGAGGTGGGTAAAATGAGGACCCAGATGGTTGGGGGCAATAGGCTGGACTCTGTAAACTGCTTAGAGGGGGCTGTTAAGCACTGTGAAGCGGTATATAAGTCTAAGTGCTATGGCTATTGCTATTAAAATCAAATGGAGAATCAACCTTCCACCATCCATTGTTCAACTTATCCACAAATCAGGCTGAAAAATGATTGAGAGTCTAGGACATTCCTGGGAATAAATCTTTAAAGATTATACTTTCCCCTTCAGAATCAAGAAAATACTAGTTCTAGGCCCTCATTCCTGTGGATATAGGAAACTGCTTTATGTTAAATCAGAAGGGTGGGCCAGTCCGATTTAGTATATCTCTATTGAAGTGAGCGGTGGGACGTGGTGGATCAGTAGCTAAGATGCTGAGCTTGTTTATCGAAAGATTGGCCATTCAGCGGTTCGAATCCCTAGCGCCGCATAAACGGGGTGAGCTCCCGTTACTTGTCCCAGCTTCTGCCAACCTAGCAGTTCGAAAGCAGGTAAAAAATGCAAGTAGAAAAATAGGGACCACCGTTGGTGGGAAGGTAACAACGTTCCATGCACCTTTGGTGTTGAGTCATGCCAGCCACATGACCACGGAGGTGTCTTCGGACAGCAGTGGCTCTCCGGCTTTGAAACGGAGATGAGCACCGGCCTCTAGAGTCGGGAACGACTAGCACATATGTGCGAGGGGAACTTTTACCTTTATTGAAGTGAGCAACATCTAAGGCTTTGCCCCACAAGCCTTCACTTCCTTCTGCCAAAGACTGTTACCCAACGTCTCCTCCCAAGTCAACTGGCCATTGTGTAACCTCTTTTTTTGGGGATACCATTGAAACAGGATATTTAATTACATGCTATGTCTATGGAAATTCTCAGTCATCCAGGTCATAGTTGTTCCAAAGGTGCTTTTTCCAAAAAGCAACTGGACTTGGGTTTGTTTCGTTTTTTTTGTCCCATTTGAAAATATTCTCTACTTTAAAAAAAAATGTTCTCTACTCATCCAAGAAGCTTCTTCAGTTCCTTCTTCAAAAACCAAGAAATCCATTTTTTTTACTACCAGTTCTGTGGGCGTGGTTTGGTGGGCGTGGTGTGACTTGGTGGGCATGGCTTGGTGGGCATGGCAGGGGAAGGATACTGCAAAATCTCCATTCCCTCCCCACTCCAGGGCAAGGATATTGCAAAATCCCCATTCCCTCCCCACTCCAGGGCAAGGATATTGCAAAATCCCCATTCCCTCCCCACTCCAGGGGGAAGGATATTGCAAAATCCCCATTCCCTCCCCACTTCTGGGGCCAGCCAGAGGTGGTATTTGCTGGTTCTCCGAACTACTCAAAATTTCTGCTACCGGTTCTCCAGAACCTGTCAGAACCTGTTGGATTTCACTCCTGCTTTGGGCTAATAATTACATGATATGCTTTATCCTTCAGGGGGGAAAAAAACAGACAACTTCCCATAACTTTTTAAAATGGGGGCCATTGGTCCTGGCATAGAAGTGAGTTTCCAGTTCCATAGGCCACATTCGTATTGGTGTGCTCATCTAAAGCAGGGGTCTCCAACCTTGGCAACTTTAAGACTTGTGGACTTCAACTCTCAGATAGCATGACTGGCTGAGGAATTCTGGGAGTTGAAGTCCACAAGTCTTAAAATTGCCAAGGTTGGAGATCTCTGATCTAAAGCATTATCCATAGATCACTTCTCTTATTGCGGTTTAGTTAAAACACCAACTTGCCTTCCAATACGTTGATACTACCATACCTTTCTACTGACTTCCTTCTTAGGAGTCCAGAAGCAGTACGAGTGTGCAAACTTTGGGGAGCAAGGGATCTCTGTCGGATGCTATGACGTGTATCGGCATGATATTGATTGCCAGTGGATTGACGTTACTGATCTCAAACCAGGAGACTACATCTTCCGGGTAAGCCGTGATTCCGCCAGTGAATGGTAACCATGGGCCTCGTTTGCAGAATAGAAGCAACCCAGCCTCTCTCTTTGCCAGCCAGTTGACTACAGGTAGTCCTCGACTTACAACAGTTCACTTTTGTGACCGTTAACAACGGCACTGAAAAAGGTGACTTATGGCCATTTTTCAACAGTTACAACTTTGCAGCACTCCATGATCAGGCGATTGTTCTGCCCCAGCTACAGACCACAAAGAACGCAGCACACACAAAGTCCGTACATACCTTAGTTTACTAATTAAGGACTACTAATGAGCTTTCTTAGTAGTTGTTCAAACACAAGTCTTTTCTGAACAAAGGCTGTTAATTTAACTTCATTAACAGCTGACAAGAGTCCAAGGAATAATAACTCAATTCTGAGGCACAGTCTTTCAGATAACCATAAACTTACTGTGGTTGGCAGAATGCCCAGAAGCAATTTGCAGGAAAAATGATAAGAGAGAAGCAAGAGCCGATCAGACATTTCTGGAGTCAATACGTGAAGAAATATGAACGCAGTTGTTTTCTGCAAATTGCCTCAGTCGTCGTCATTCCTTAAATAGGCTAGGGGAGTAGCCAATTAGCCCCAAGCCTTACTCTCGAGAAGACCTCCTCCTGAGGAGCCACTCCTGCCTTTTGGCAGCTCTGCGCGCCCGTGCATCGAGAAGAGGCTCCTCCTCTTCTTCCTCTTCACTTATGGGAGCTTCTGGAGGTTCTGAA